GGGGGCTGAGAAGATGTTGGCATCCACGGAGTGATAGAAACTCCTCTACGTGAATTGAAGAAATCCCTTTATTTATTTCCAATATTTCCCGAAGCCCTTCCGTTGATCGCTTCCCCCCTGCGATTAAGGAAAAGCTCCGCGCCGCTGTCCACACCTCCCTCCTTCTGACTCTCAGCCTCCAGCGCATCTCCGGGGTTAGCGTGTTCTTCCAAGGCGTCCGCTCTTCGGACCTTGGGTGGAAAGACGCTACCACAGGTTAAAAGGGCGATAGTAGCAGGATGCGGAGATCACGTGTTTTCAGGCAGGTGGAGACCTCGCTGCTGTTCTGAAGGACATACTGCACTGACACCTGGTGCAGAAAAGAAAACACCCAGTCAGTTTCTAAGCGAGGAAGGAAGGTTGTGCTTCCAAAGTGATTGCAAATCAGTACCACGAGAGGCAGAGGCATAGCAAGGCCTGCTCATTGGCACAGTCCTGCGTTTTCTTCAAATTTAAAATCTGCCCTAATGGCCAATTTGAATTTTTTTGCTCCTAGAGGTGTGTGTTTAGTTGAGATGCCTACCTAAAGGAGGGGTATCATTAGAAATCAATGAAATACTTAGAATAGTGCTTAAACCAGATGAGAACAGGAAAAAAAAAAAATATATATATATATATATAATATATGTATAGTACATATATGTATTTAAACTTGTTCAAATAAAATATTTACAATAGACTTTTTTTCAGGGGGTGGAATTTTTTAAAATTTTAAAAAATTTTTGGTGAATTTGATTACTTAAAACTCATTAGGAGTTTCTGAAAATTGGGTCATTGTTTCGAAAAGGATTAGCGTAAAAACTTTAATTTTGTAGTAATGCCACTGGGCCAAGTTTAAATTAAATTTTTTCTTCATTTCAGGTTCTGTTGCAAAGTGTGAAAATGAAGGTGAAGTCCTCCAGATCCCATTCATCACGGACAACCCTTGTATTATGTGCGTCTGCCTGGTAAGTGCGGCGATCAGGCCGTGGGAAGCCAGTTGCTCCCTCTGACAAGGCGAATCCATTACATGTGATAATATAACCAGATCTTAAACATGGTTTTTAGTTATTACAGAGCTGCGCATAGCTGCTGAATTGAATGCGGTTGAATTTCTGAGTTTTATGGACTTTGGCGGTTTCTATTTCACCAGGCAGGGAATTCTGGGAATTCTTATCTTTGCCCTCATCTTTACAGAAATAAATTAAGGATGGACTTTGCCTGCCATTGTCTCCGTGATAATTACCGTTTGCACTGTCTGTCCCCAGGAATGGCTGTTGCCATCAAATCACAGGCCTTGGCTCTGGCCTCAGAGCTCAGTGTGAAAATGGTGAGATAACATGTAGGCATCTTACCAGTGATAAGGTGTGTGACAAGGGGAAAGAGAAGTGACCCTTACAAAGGACAAACATGAGGGCAAGATGTAATCTGGGATTTCTTTGCCTGTTGTAGCCTCAAATCTCAAAACCAGTCCTTATATTTCTGATTTGGAAGCATGAGTGAGGAACGACGTTCGATTCTTAACAGAGAATAATACTTGGCCGTCAGCAGCTTGGTTAACCCTGGCAGTGGCAGTAGATTAAAAAAAAAAATTTGTTTCAATTTATTTTAGCTTAATAGTTAATGATAAGAACTAGTAAGTAACCACATGGGGGAGGTTAAGTTATATGAGTAGGAATTTCTGAGATGAAATATGGACTCACAAAGAGCAAGGTTTTTGTTTAAGGGAGTTTTACATGCCAATCACTTTTGGCAAACTTTGATTAAAAACTACACACCCCAAAACCCTGTTGGAAATACATGAAGGCTGTCAGGTGTAAAACTCCAAAGAGAGAGAGGAAGGCGTGTTTGTTATCAGATCAACATTCGGTATGGAACCGGAGAAGGGGCTCTTCTCCGTCTAGGTGAAAGCCAAGCCATCTGAGTTTCAACTCCCCAAACTTTTGCATGACAAGAGGTGAGGTCAATGTTGGGAAATGATAAATGGGTGACGGTGAATGCTGGCGTCAAATGATTATCAGGTTCTGAACACTAAGGAAATCAGCAGAATCAGAAGTGAAAATCCCTTAATGTTTGCTAAGAGAAATGTGTCGCCTTAGTGAAACAGAGCCCTGAGAGACAGGCTGTCAGATTTTGTGTTTATGAGTTGCCCTTAATAATTATTCACTAAAAGACCTGTTGAAAAGAGGCTTTGCATTTAAATTTTGGCTCAGTTATATATTTACAAATGCAGTGTGTGTGTGAGGGGGGTGGCGGGGAGGGAGGGGGGATAATCTCCCTTTTCAGTTTTTCTTATCTTTATATTGTGAGTGAATTATTTTATCATAATCTCTTTAGAAGAAATTACCCTAACTCACATTTCACTGTGCTTGGAACTCCAGGCACTTGTGGAAATACTGTTTTTCTCCTTGACGATAATACTGTGCTTAGAATTTAAATATACAGTTTGGGCTTTGCACACTGTCCCCAAATAACATTATGAAAACTTCCCCACACAGCGTCCCCTTTCCGGTGCCACACCCTGGTGGCAAAGGGTTCTTTTCTCTAAAGTGCGGCCTTACTGATCGCAGATCGGGGTTAGAATCCTAGAATCCTGCCCTTGGAGGGAAAGGAGTGAGTGACTCTGAAGAGAAAAAAAATGCGTCAGTTGAAAATCAAGTGAAAATGATATATATTTCAGAAAAGTACTGATTAAGTTTAGAAGGATAGTAGGTTCATTTATGTCTTTAAGTAACATTTGGAGATATCTGCCTTGAGTGAGAGCCATCAGGAATCCTTTTGAAACGTGTTAAGTCCGGACTCTGGAGATCCAGCCTGAGTTATTCAAATGTCTCAGAGCTCTCTCCCTAGCCTGAAGGCTCAGTGACATGCCATGTGACTCATGCATGGGTTCGAGATCATGGGGCCCAAGTCATCGTAGTCGTTATTGCTCCCCAGACATTCGTAATGACTCAGTGGCATTGAGCAGGAATAGGTGGATGGCCAGATCTCTGTGTGTATATGTTCTTGTAAGTTTGCACGGGACCCACTGTGGTCCATGGGTTTTAAAGCACCCCTGACGGCCATGAGGCTGCTTAGCATTTTTATACTTAGGTTGGAACATAGACCTATTTAACAGGTGGATAATATTAGCACTAGCGACTAATATTTATGAACCGCTTTATTGGTGGCACTTATCTAAATCTGCATTATTTCCTTTAGTCCTCAGAAAAGTCTTTCGAGAGCGTTTATCCCCATTTCACAGATGACGAAACTGAGGCCAGCTCAGTTACGTAGCTTGTGAAGGCATATTTTAGCAACTGTCGGGGCAGGAGCCCGTTTTCTGTTGCTTTTGTCTGTCTCCCGAGTGCACGCCTGTAATCAAGTGACACAGGCTGTTTGTTGAGTGAACATGTGACAAAGCAAAGAGAAAATCGAACGATCGTCCACTTACTCTACTACTTGGCGTTGCTTTGACTCACTTTGTTTTTCTCTTTGGAGTCTCTTAGGAGTTCGGTTAGCTGACATTTTGTTAATCAGATTATGTGAAAGGAAGGTCTCATTTTGCGTTCAGTTGACCTGCAGGGAGCCTTGGCTGTGAGCTGGTTTTATGTATGTACATTAAGAGGGTATGTAATAGTCAAAACTGTTCTTTGGATAAAGGAAATAGTCATATTTAGTTTGTGTTGGTCCAGCCTTTTGGCAGAAAGGTACCTCAGGCTGAGCATAAGCTCCTATCTTGTTTCATAACATGTATTATAAAAAAAAAGCTAACCTCAACCTATGCTTAAAAAAGACGTAAAATGTAACAGTTGGGAGGAAATAGGTGGCATGAAGTCCTGCATATAATTACAGTGTAAAAGCCTGAAAACCCCACAAAATCGACTTGGCCTGATTTAAACTTTTGAGCTCCGAAATGTTTCAAAGGCGGAATGAGCTCATTTCTGTGGGAATTTTGAGGATGTCAGTGAGGGCAGTGGCCACGGCAAGCAGAACCGAATAATCTGATTCTCATTTCTCCTCGCCTGCGTAGACCCGAGCGTCCTGCCAGAAGCCATCGCGGTCCAAGAATAACCTGTTTGTCCGCTGGCCATGGATATCGTTTTAAAGTGTGTGGGACGGAAAGCTTGGGTTCCTCCGTCGAGGGGGGGGGGAGATGAGAAGTCAGGCCACCCGCCTGAAGCCTGGGGACCCGGGGGGCAGTTTAGGTTAAAGCTGCAAAGTGCTCCATTGTTTGCTTAGGAAGCAGAGCAAGGCTCCTCGCCACGGTGCAGAATGGCCTTTTAGGAGGCTGAGGAAAGGCCCGGCTGACTGCTGCTCTGCTGACTTCTTTACCCTGTTCTGGCTAGAATTATGTTTCCCGTGGTGCTCGGGGAACCACGTCGGGCAGCCCGTAGGAGCCTGAAGCAACTGTCTGGCCCTGGGCGGCGTGGCTCGGTGAGAGCGCTGGCCGGCGCGCACCGAAGGGTCGCAGGTTCAATTCCCGGTCAAGGGCACATACCTGGGTTGCAGGTTCGATCCCTGCCTCCTGGTGGGGCTCATGCAGAGGCAACCAGTCGATGTGTCTCTCTCACATTGATGTTTCTCTCTCTTTCTCCCTCCCCACTCTCTCTAAAAAAATCAATGGAAAAAATATCCTCAGGTGACGATTAACAACAACAAAATAATAATAATAAAATAAAATAAAATAAAGCAATTGTCTGGATCTCTCGGGCATCCCCAAAGCCACCCGGCAGCCCCGAGAAGTGGTCCTCCGACTTCTCGCTGCTTGTCCCTAACCAGAGCCGAGAAGGGGATGGCTCACGCCAGGGAGTTCGGCCCAGTCCTGGAAACCTGAGCAAACTTTGGAGGCCGGGACTTCGAAAACCAGAAGTCAGGCAGAGCTTAGCTTGGCAGACATTTTGTTCAGCAAAAAACTTGATTCCGAGGTTTAAATTTCCTCTTTTAAATCCAGAGGTGCAATGTAGAAATGGACCCACTGCTTATAAAAAGCGACGTGAAATTCGGTGTTACACAGAGTGCCCCCCCATCTCGGAGCCGGGCAAGTGGTGAAAACAGAGGAGACTTTGTCTGCTGTCTTCTACTTAATCACAAAAGTCTTCCATCACTAAACAAGTAGCTACCAGCGTCTTGGATTCTCTCGGGTGCCTTATCTCTATAAAATCCTCATGTTTTTTTATTGTTCAAATTAACTGGCTAGAGAAGAGATATCTATTATCTGAGCAAGTGTTAGGCACATGTTTGGGAATGAGAGAGATAACGTTGCATCAGGATTCAATTCTCCTGAGTGTGCATGTGTGTGGGGGGGAGAGAGGGAAAGGAGTTGGGGTGCGGATAGGGAAAGAGAAAGAGAGAGAGATAAAGGAATCCAGATGTGCTCAGAAAGATACTGCAGTTAATATATGCACACATACATAGATTGCGGTAATTTCTTGAAAATTGTTTCGCATCATTTTTAGACTTTGGATTCTGACTAAGGAAGTGATCAGGATTCATCCATTCTCTGAACAGAAGGTGTTGTGACCCATTGCCTTTCCACAGAGCAAGGTATTCAGTAGAACAGTTTTAGGGGGAAGGTAATTAATTTAGGGCATTGTGCTGGCCAATTCACCAATACCAGCTTCGAGGCAATTATTTTCCCCGTGTTCTATTGCAGCTCAGAGAGCAGAGCAAATGTCCTGAGGTTACACGGTTTCTAAGAGCCAGACGAGGATGTGAAGCCAGTGCCTTCTCCACGAAACCAGTTTGCTTCTTAAAAATATCTAAAAATACCTCCAGGGACTTCAGAGAGTAATTTCAACCTCCGCAAAGCTGACCTAGGCACTCTTTGGGGGCAGTTAGAGTGATTTTGGTCTTGTAGCACATACCAAGTCTGGAATTTGGAGGGCCCTTTCGAAGGAAGACACAGTTCCGGTAGCTTTGGGTGGGCATCATATCATTTTGGCAAAGGGCTTTGGCTGTGGCATCAGACAGGCCTAGGTTCAGGTTT